GTGGCGCTGGAATGGGCGAGCTGGAATGAAAAAGTATACCGGCAGACCGGCAGTCCAGCCACTGGACTGGATTGTTCACTAGAATGGGTTCACTCCAGTGCATTCCAGTGCTGGTTCACATTATTCCAGTGGCTTTCCGGGTTCCAGCAATGGAATCGATCGCCGGACTGGAATACTACTGGAATAATGTGAACTGGGCATAATGGGTTAGCTGAAATGAAAAAGTATACCGGCTGTCCTGTCACTGGACTGGATTGCTTGGAATGGGTAGGTACATCCTTGTGCATTCCAATTATCAAGTGCCGGTTCACATTATTCCAGTGACATTTAACGGTGGTAGAGCGACGCAGCAGCTTTTACTGTTGCACGTATGGGCCTCGAGCCGGGTTAGTGCCACGACCTCACAGAATACCGGCGTGAAGTGGAAGCTCTGCTTCCGCGTATCGTCTGGTGAGTGCAGGTGACCGGAGGCCCAATCCCCCCCCCCCCCATCAACATATTAGCGGAATTACATCATAAATTACCCCAGGGAGGGTACCAGTACCCCTGGAGAATCCCTCACTGAGCATCCACGACCATGCTATTCCACTCCTGAGCGTGCGTGCTCAGGCTGCCCCGCGTATTCTGGGGGGGGGGGGGGGGGGAATTCCGCTCAAAACAATAACTGCTCGGGGCAAACTGAGCAACAATTCCAAGGCGACCCATGCCAGGCTGTCCGTGAATTTTTGCAACATCAGGGGACTTCACTCGAACCTAAACGCCGTCCACTACCATCTCGAGACGGCGAAGCCGGCCTTGCTCTTTCTGACCGAGACGCAGGTGTCCTCTCCGGCTGATACTTCGTATCTTTCCTACCCGGGGTACAAATTGGAGCACTCCTGTGTGCCTCGGGCTGAAGTTTGCGTGTATGTCAGAGAGGACATCTGGTCTCGACGCCTCGGCAGTCTTGAAGGTTCGGACCTATCCATCCTTTGGCTACGCGTAGACAGCGACGACCATCCGCGCGCCTACGTGTGCCTCTATAGGTCCCATAGCGGTAATACTGAAACAGACCGACTCCTCTACCACGTCCAAATGGCTACAGATTCCTTGCTACAACAGGTCCCATTCACAGAGATCGTGATCCTTGGCGATTTTAACGCCCACCACGCCGAATGGCTCGGTTCACGTTTAGTGATCATGCGGGGAGATCTGTTTATGACTTTGCCTTGGCAAATGGTATGACACAACTGGTTACATCGCCTACGCGGATTCCAGATGTTGAGGATCATACACCTTCCCTGTTGGAGCTTCTGCTGACCTCTCATCCGGACGAATATCAGGTTTCCGTCGATGCCCCTCTTGGCTCTTCGGACCAATGTCTGATCCGGAGTGTGGTGCCACTCACGCTCTCCCCGCGGTTGCGTTCTGCAGGTTGCCGTCGTGTTTGGCATTACAGGTCGGCGGATTGGGACGGAATGCGGTCTTTCTTTGCATTCTATCCATGGGGGCAGGTTTGCTTCTCGCCGGAAGATCCCAGCGCTGTTGCTGACTCTGTCACTGATGTGGTGCTACAGGGACTGGAACTATTTATTCCATCATCTGTGGTACCCATCGGAGGCAGATCTCAGCCTTGGTTTGGTCGCTCCTGTAAGACTGCATTACGCAGTAAGCAGGAGTATTATCAAACCTGGGCTGCGGCTTCGGCGACTCGCGATGTAAACACCAGCATACTTAAAAAAAATTATAACTTTGCCTCTAGGTCCTTCAAAAGAGTTATTGCCAAGGCAAAGTCAGAGCGCATAGGCAGAATTGGCGAAAAACTAGTTCGCCTTCCTTCGGGAACCCGTGCATTCTGGTCTTTCGCCAAGGCTGTCCAAGGGAATTTCTGTAAGCCATTACTACCATCTCTGCATAGGGAGGACGACTCACTGGCCCACGACGCAAAAGAGAAAGCCGACATTTTAGGCTCCCTTTTTGCGTCCAACTTGACTGTTGATGACGGGGGAAACACACCGCCGACCATCCCGCGGTGTGAGTGCTCCATGCCGGATGTGCGGTTCTCACAGCGCAGAGCACTCCTCTCCCTTGACATCCACAAGTCGAGTGGACCTGACGGAATCCCCCCAATTGTGCTGAGGACGTGTGCTCCGGAGTTGGCACCGGTTCTAACGCGTCTTTTCCGGTACTCCTACTCCCTAGGCGTAGTCCCGAAATCATGGAAGACAGCTTTTGTTTACCCGATCCCTAAAAAAGGCGACCGCTCAGTCCCGTCCAACTACAGTACTATCGCCATCACCCCCTTGTTCTCCAAAATAATGGAATCCGTTATAAACTGCCACCTCATGCGGTACCTTGAGGATCACCAGCTGATTAGTGACCGCCAGTACGGTTTTCGTCGGGGTCGATCAGCTGGTGATCTTCTGGTCTACTTAACTCATAGATGGGCGGAGGCAGTAGAGTCCAAGGGGGAGGCATTGGCCGTTAGGTTGGACATTGCGAAGGCCTTCGATCGGGTTTGGCACAAAGCGCTTCTTTCGTAGCTCCCTTCCTATGGGCTTCCCGAGAAATTATGCAATTGGATCACCAGCTTTCTTGCAGATTGGAGCATCAAGGTCGTTGTAGACGTGCATGCTCCGACTACAAGCCTATTAAAGCTGGTGTTCCACAAGGCTGCGTGCTATCACCAACGCTATCAAGAAACACTTTTGCATATCAATGATATGTTGCAAGCCGGTAGCATTCATTGCTATGCGGATGTCAGCACTGGTGATGCTCTATACACCGGCCGTGCCAATATTTCTCGGGAAAACGTCACCGAGTACCGGAACTAACTTGTGTCTGAAGTCGAGTCTTTGCTGGACAAAGTTTCGGATTGGGGGCGACTAAATCTAGTCCAGTTTAATCCTCAGAAGACACAAGTTTGCTCGTTTACCGCTAAAAAGAACCTCTTTGTCGTATCTCCTCTCCTCCTCTTTACAAGGCGCAAGTTCGGCCTCACATGTAATACTGTTCCCATCTCTGGGCAGGGGCTCCCCAGTGCCAGCTCCTTCCACTTGACCGCATCCAGCGCAAAGCGGCTCGAATAGTCGAGGACCGAATCCTTTCCGATCGGCTTGACTCATTGGCGCTGCGAAAAGATGTTGCATCTCTTTGCATTTTCTTTCGCATTTACCACGGGGAGTGCTCTGAGGAATTGTTCGAATTAATCCCAGCCGCAAAATTTCACGAACGCACATCGCGGCAGAAATCCCGATACCATCCACACTATCTGGATGATTGGCGCTCCACCACTGTGCGATTTAGAAGATGTTTTCTTTCTCGCACAACTTCCTTGTGGAATAGTTTACCAGCGATTTTTCCGGACCGATACGACTGAGGGATCTTCAAGAAAAAAGCCTACTCCTTTTTAAAAGGCCGGCAACGCATCTGCAATTCCCCTGGTTCCCCTGGTGTTGCGGTTGTTCATGGGCGGCGGTAGTCACTTACCATCAGGTGAGCCGCATGCTCGTTTGCCCCCTCTCCTATTAAAAAAAAAATTCCAGCACAAATCGATCGCTGGACTGGAATACTACTGGAATAATGTGAACTAGGCATAAGACCACTAGAAACCTTATTTTTGAAGAGTCTAAAAATGCGAAAAGTCTGGTATTAGGGGCATCCACCGTATAAAGTAAAACACAATGGCTTATTAAAGCTTGTAAGGAATCCGATACTAAAAATTCGGTAAGTATATCCATAAAAATAAATGCTGAGCGATATTGTTGTGTTATATAATATTCGATATCTTTATTCTGTAATAATCCATAACAGAGCTTTTTTTTTTAAGTATTGAAATTATATAAATTCATCTATTTTGCACAATAATTGTGCAAATTTTCTACGCTGTCAACATTATCAAAACTAGGGTTAAACTTAAAATAAGCCTTAATACATTATTTTAAGGTATAAAGTTGCTTTAACAATTTAGATTATTGATTAGTATCAGCTCTCTCTTTCTAAAAGCGGTGGAAATTTGTTAAATCTTATATTTTAAATTTTTTCCATATACACAATGAAATTTAAGGTTGGTAACAATGACAATTTCTCGTCTTAGTTCTTAAATTTTTTCTTGAAAACCATTAAAAAAACCCTTAAAAGTATTTTGGTAGAAATGAGCCTCTTCCTTGGTAGGTAGTGCCTCCCTCATATTATGAAAGTATAAGTATTAAAAGTGTACATATAAAATTTTAGACTGCTTATTTTTTGTTATAAACATAATACTCTACCTACTTAGTACTTATAGGTAAAGTAAAAGAAATAGTAATACATATTCGTAAATCTTTGATTTGTATTAATTGACCGTAAATAACACCGAACATAAATTTAATTACATATTTTCTTAAATATGTAAATATGCAAATCATCAAATCATAATATAAGTAAATAAAAATCACTTATTCAATTTTCTGCTATAAAAGTAATGTGTAGTGTATAGGTGCTTTGATATATAATATATTTTCTGTCTTAGTTTAGATATTAAATACCAACATAATAAATTTACAATATAATTTCGAAGATTTTATGTCTTTAACATTTTATTTATATTCTTATTTTTGCCACGAAAGTTACTTAATGCTTTTTAAATTTAAATTTCGGAAAATGTAATATAACTTTCGTGATTTCATTTTAAATATTAAAAGATTCTGTACAATTTGAATAAGTTTAAATTGTTCTTTTTTAAATTTTTGGTTAAAAGTTAAAACTACTACAGCCTTATTATATTACTAATATGTTTCGACAGCTACTACGTCGCAAGTAGACACCATATCACCTTCATATCAGTTTTAAAAGTAAAATAATATTGTTTATTACCTTTAATACGTTAATATTCAGGGTAAAAATATACTTTTCATATTTGTATGTGTAAACTAATTTAATTTTGCTTATTTATGTAGAAAAACATTTTTCAATATTTTGTGCAATTTTTGAATTATACTCCAACACTGTGACGACACGCTGTACGCCACGTTTGCGTCATCATAACGTGAACAGCGCTCAAACGGGGAGGACGTGGGATGCGAGTGGTAGTGCTCCGTTAGAAACATAATTATTATTTCAAATGTTTCTAATATCGAAATTATAAAGTACAAAGATTTAGGATAGGTACGATTTACATTTTACGGTAATTAATAATTAGTTTATTGGTTTATATTTTCAAAACTTATCAATTTTTGCATTTGTTTCAGGTTCCAAACGCAGTCGCCGCCATCATGGCGTCGGACGAACAATTTTCATTATGTTGGAACAATTTCCACGCCAATATGTCAGCAGGCTTTCATGGCCTGCTGTCGCGTGGAGATTTAGTAGATGTAACGTTGGCTGCCGAAGGCAGGTTATTACAGGCACACAAATTAGTTTTATCAGTATGTTCTCCCTATTTTCAAGAAATGTTCAAAATGAACCCTACTCAGCATCCCATAGGTATGTATTTATTAACACAGTGGTAAAAGTTACTTGTTTATGTGAACTCTTGTTTAATTTAATAACTCTTATCGTTTCAGTATTTTTAAAAGATGTTAGTCATTCAGCGCTAAGAGACTTATTACAGTTTATGTATCAAGGTGAAGTTAATGTTAAGCAAGAAGAATTAGCGTCATTTATTAGTACAGCGGAACAACTTCAAGTGAAAGGTTTAACCGGTAATCAAAATGAAGAAAGTTCCACGCCATCCAAACCAAAGCCGACCTCTAGGCCAGGCCCGAGGTCGTCACAACAAAGGCAATCCGTTATGACTAAGTTAGAGACTGATTTAGATTCTAAGCCCTCCTCAACTCCAGTAGCAATTAAGAGACCAAATAGGCCATCAATAGCATCAAATAATTCCTCATCATCTCAAAGTGGACCTGCGAAACGAAAATGTGTAGACCCCTTAGAAGCCGGACCCTCAGGATCAGCTAAAGAAGAATTTGTTACGATACCGGACGAAGACGAAAACAATGCCGTGGCACCGAAAATGGAACCAGAATTTGTTAACGAAAGCATGTGGGATGACGATGATGAAGGCGCAAATAATGATGAAACAAACTTTGGCGAAGACGACTCTAATATGGAAATGACAGGTAATTTTTGTGTAACTTAATTATTTTCTGTATTTAGTTTGCCAGTGTTATAATTTTTTTTATTCATATTCAGGATTTGATGGCTCGGCTACTGGAGATGGCAATATGTCTGGCGGCGGGGAAGGTGGCGCTGTTGGGGATGCACAAGGTAGGTTTACAAATATGTCTGTCAGTTTCTACATACATAAATGTTGTAGAAACTGCCCTAACTACCCTTGTAACGTACTTGATCTGTGGCTAAAGGTTTAAAATTTTTAATTCTATTGTGTATTTAATGTATGTCTTATATCGAGCCTTGATCGTGTACGTTACTCTAGATTAATAATGAAATTTATAAGTTAGTCGTAAGTAGTTTTAGATAATTATATACTCTTTGTAACTGTTCCAGGGTTAATTCCTGTTTTAAGACTTATGTTCCGAGAGAACATAAGTTTTTTGATAGGAAGGTAAATGAGAAGGTAAAATGTAAGGTATGTCTGGTATGAAAGGTAAAAGGTAATCTGGTGATCTTATGGGGTAAGGTTATCAAAATGCTAGGTAAAGTAAATGTACAAAGTTGTAATTATAGCAAGCTGAAGTTTATTATATGTTGCCAATCAAATTGAACGCTGCAAATTGTACAAAGTATGCGCGAGGTTGGTAAATAGGTTCGACATTTATAAAATGGTAAGTAAAGGTATGCCGGTCATAAACATGATTTAAGTAATTTGATCAGACTGATAAGTGAACCAGTCTGATCAAGTTCCTTAACTACTAACCATTAATAAAAAATTGGATATGCATACTAATTACAGTAACATAATATTAGTCTAGTGAGACTGCACAAGTGTCTACTAGTATTTAGGATGCATTTTCAAACTTGCGTATGAAACTAGCTCTAATGCGATGCTGCTGCACTGATGCTCATCAGTCCAGTTGACAGCATGGTTACGTTACTGTGGTTATTGGGTGAATTCGAGTTTGTATTTCTTAAGACCACAGGAGGTTATAAGCAATTCATAAAACTGGTACTTAGTGTTATGGAATGCTTATCCTATGAATTCTACGTACGTCGACTCCATTTGGCTTTAGGCCAGCCACGTACATACGGAATTTTGAAGGGGTCTGCCACAAGTCCCGTTGTGGCCGCAAAATTTCGAACGGAAAACTGTCTTAGGCCGGCCACATACATACGGAATTCCGTTTCGGAATTTCGAACGGTCGGCCACACAAACGGAATCCCGTTTTGCTCGCAAAATTTCGAACGGAAAACGACCGTACGTGTGTGGCGGGTCATAGATTTTATATGGACTTGCTGCGTTCGGGATTCCGAATCGGGATATCGAAACGGAATTACGTATGTATGTGGCCGGCCTTATATTTTATAGGTATGCGGAATTCCGTATGTATATGGCGAGCTTTAAGTTGACACTTAAAATTATCGTATGATAGGCCTCGTATTAACGTGGATGATCTTGCGACGTTCAGCAAGATGAGCAATGTAATTATTAATCCCATATGTATTGTTAAATTTCAACCTACGCCAGGATTTTACTATAATGTATGGAGTGTTAAATTGGTTTCTTCAATTAAACCAATTTTATTGGTGCTACTGATACTGATAATTGACTTGTACTGATCGTTACGGTACGGTTACGATAATTCATACATTATTTTTGGATCAGGGCTTGGTAATATTATAGGCGAGATGTTAAGGCTCACGCCTCTTTGAACGGAAATTCCTTCGCGGATTTTCCGCGGCCAAACTACATTTTACTTCATATAAATGACTAATAACGGGTCCGCCGATATTCTGCGTAGCGTGCACGTTATTAGTTACATATATGTAATAAGATTTACACTGATTTTTCATTTGCATAAGGGCTCTTACGGACTATGCGGTTACTCGTAAAGCGGTCAGCCGCAAGCGAAAATATATGCGTACGTCTATTTCTATGCGCCCTTGCATGCGGGCTATCTGCAAACTGCTCCGGTCGCTCAGAGGGCTGCGACCCGAACCCGAATATGAATGACGGCTAGCCGGATGGTTGCTTGCGCACTGTGCGGCTCAATTTGCGGCTGCCCATGCCCGCCATTGAGTGATAAAAAAAATATTAACGAAATTCAGAGCCTGCAAGCAACTTGGTACACCATATGTATTAAATATCTGCAACTTTTTCCATGTCCATTAATTGAATCGATATGATCGCAAATCGCAACGGTTTCCTTAACTTTAACCACAGGTTGCGAATGAGATTGGTCTCATTCGAAACCGCATCCTCTGGTCAACCAAACGGCTAGCCGCATTTCGGTTACCCGCGTAGTGCTATGAGCCCTTACAAACTTGCCCACCCAGAAAAACATTGTGTGGCATCATGCTAGGTTTCTTGGAATGATAATTATGGATGCCATACACGATCCAGTTTACCGACAAGTTTGCAGTGGATCCATATAGACCACTCACGTTCAAGTTCGCCGTGAAGTTTGCATGACGCTGCTAGCTTGATCAAGTCTGCAGAATCGAAATTAAATTTTTGCTTCAAGTAGACTTGTCATGGACAATGATAGCCATACACCGTCAAGTTTGCTAGACGCCGTTTCAAGCGCGCTGCAAAGTTGACGATAAACTGGATCGTATATGGCATCCATAAGGTAGTCTCACATTTTTATCGACGCGGAATCTTCCTATAGCGCAAATTAATGTATATGAGCACTGAGGGACCATGCCGGGAATTCGCGAAATGAATTGCCAAGGATTTAGTAGTAGTCCTAAAATTGTAGAACGTATACCGGAATTTGTAAAAGAATTTAATTAAAGTTACAGCCCTTTAGTGTGGTCCCTCAGTTGACACAGTTTATCAGCCAGATCGCGGTAAGTATGTAAATGAAGTTAATGTAATGACAGGTATTTAGTAAATAATTTGTAAAACTTAGACATCAAGCGTTAAATAGAAACAAATATCTAAACCACAGCTTAACCGATTCGTTGCGGCACCAATTTCCGACAACTTTTAGCTGTGGCGGCGAACAAATATTTCATGACACGCCGGGCGTGTCGAGCGCCATCCGCCATGTGTAAAAGTAATATTCTTTTTTAGGCCGGCCATATACATACGGAATTCCGTTTCGAGATTCAGTTTCGATATTCCGATTCGGGATTTCGAACGCAGCAAGTCCATATAAAATCTATGACCCGCCACACACGTACGTTAATTTTCCGGACGGAATTTCTCCGATTCGAGATTCCGTATGACCGCCTGTGCGTTCGGGATTCCGAACGGAAAAAAGCCGCTCCGAACGCACGTCTTCCATAGATTTTGTACGAGTGGCAACACATATACGTAAATTCCGTACGGAACGCGCTCAGTGTTCGTCGCACGACCGAAGCGAGTAGGTGTGTTTATGTATGTTTGTACATTTAATCTTGTAGGTGTATTCGTAACCTTTCGTCTTATTTTATTTAATAATTCGTCGAAAGAATTTACATACATAAATATTTAAAAAATATTTCTGGATAGATAGACCTTTTTACATAGTATTGACTATAATGCAAGCTTAGGGTGATAAGGGGATGCACCTAGTAAGAATGATACAGCATCAATGGATTCGCAATTAGAAAATCGTCGTCATTATTTGCTGGCAGAATGTCTATACTCAATAGCTAACGTCTCTTAACTGACCCTTGTTATTCCGAACGAAAAAAAACGTGTGTGTGTGATGTATTCACGGAATCCCGATTCGGGATTCCGAAACGGAATCTCGAAACGGAATTCCGTATGTATATGGCCGGCCTTAAGCCTTTTTTACTTGTTTAGACCTAATTAAGTTTATTTGACATCAAACATAAGTTACAAATGGAAGAATACTTGGTTTTAGTGGGTAACTACGTGTTTTTTTACGCGTTTTCTTTGAAATTGAGAGAAAGTGACTTTTTCAAACAACACATTATATAAAGAACATTTATATAAATAGGTACAGCTAAATCACCCTGGAAACCTTGGTTTTTATTAAATTAAATTTTCACCTAATATCAAACCTTAATTTGAAAAAAAAAAAACATTGAGTTATACAAGACTAGAGGAGCAAACCTCATTACCGCGCGCCGAAAGTGAAGCCACTATCTAGCCGCGAGGACGTAGCTTTGAAACCACTAAACCTTTTTAAGTAAACATATATCTGTCTCACACAAGTCACGAAAACAATACCGTCGCTAAGATTAGATAAAGATGGACACACAAACATGCAGTGATGGATTGGTATTGCCTACTATATGAAATTTTACCCAAAAATAAGCAATAAAAAAGAGTTTTTTTAAGCAGTTATTTTGCAGTTATTTGTTTTTATTTTAAATATGTATCTTAGCTTATCCGATGAATAGAAGTATAACTAATGAAATGAAAGATTTTTCGAAGTATCTTTTATTGTACTGATAAATCAAACGAAAAATAAATCAAGTAAAAAAAATCAATTTTGGGTTTCTTAACTTGAAATATTCAGGCGTGTCACTTTGTAAAAATCTGAGGTATGGAAAATGGTGGCGCGATTTTCAAATTTGTTCGCATTACTCGTGGGGTATTAAGGTTTAAGAGTTTGCAGTGTATATACTCAACTTATTTATTGAACTATAAGATGTGGGGTATTGAGGTTTAAGGGCTTGCGATTTATTTATATGGGGTTTGTAGTAATATGCGATTTATTTCCTAATTTCAGCTATGGAATTCCATACCTTGAAAAACTTGAGGTATGGAGTGCTCCATACCTTCCATAGTGGAAGTGACACCCCTGGAAATATTCATCAATTGTGAAAGCATCGCCAAGTCTTTGTCTCCTAAATTTGGTCTCATGACATTAGCCACAAAAACTGTGGTTATTAATATATTTTTAAGTTAATACTAAATGGTGTTAATCTGTCGTACTAATCCTATTAAATAAACACGTTCGCTATCGCTTTTTGGTCCTAGTTTGTCTTGATCCCGGAAGTGCTTAGAACTAATGAAAATAGATTTCGAAGGCACCCAGTGAGTCTCCTTTCTCAGCAATCGTGTTATTTCCACCCACTTCTTACGGTGTGCTGCATCTTTAGGTACCCTGCAAAATTATTAATATAAAATAGGTAATAAAATATAATTAATAGATCTATAGATCTCTAGAATATTCTAAAATAAAAAT